GTTCCCATGAGTTGCCACCGAAGGCTCAAGAAGGAGGACAGGTGGAGATGTCGGGGGCCTCCACATGGTGTGGTGACCACACCGCGCGGTGAGAGCGTGGGGATTCGGGTTCACCGCGCGGTTTTGAGACGCGGGCCGTTCTCCGAGGACGTCGCTGGCGACTGGGGCCTCCGAGGTGCCAAGGCCGCGCGGTGACGGACCCCGCGGTCCGTCACTACACAGTTCTGGGGGCTCGCGCCGTGCACAAAACACATCGGGTGGTTTTTGGCCGCTTTCGGCCTGCGGGGGCTCTCGCCGGGCTTCGAGCCCGTTTCTTTATTGCTTGGGGCATGACGGGCGTCATGGCCCCCGCTCCCTCCCCCCTATGACGTAACGCTCCCCCCCCAGTGCGCTCCGGGCACTGCCGCCGTGCGCATTGGGATCCGCGTAGGAATCCGCATAGGTGTCTGGTCCGCAGGAATCGTCGTCGTCGTCGTCGTCGTCGGCGTCGTCGTCGTCGTCGTCGTCGTCGTCGTCGTCGTCGTCGTCGTCCGTCGTCGTCGCTCGTGGTTCGTCGCTCGTCGCTCGTCGTCGTCGCGCGCGCGGACGCGGCTGGAGCTTGTTTTTTAGTCCGGGCGATGACGGCAATCATCTGGGGGGGAGGGGGTCGATGACGTCACGTTTCGCGCCGGCGGCGTCTGGGAATGCTTAGGAATGACGGAGGACGGGTAGCACGAACATGTAGGTGGCGATATGCACCACAACGCCTGTGTACATCACAGTGCCCGCGTGCACCGCAACGCTTGTGTACACCACACCGCGGATGTACACCATAGCAGCCGCGTGCAACACAGCGTCAGTTTGTGCCACCGTGCCTGCGGGCACAGCAGCTCCTGCGTACACCACAGCGCCTCCGTACCCCACATCAGCCGTGCGCAACACAACACCAGTGTACACCACAATGCTCGCGTGCATTGCAGTGCCTGTGTACGCCACGGCGCTTGTGTGCACCACATCAACCGTGCGCAACACAGCACCATTGTTGTGTATAGAATTTCAGAAGGGATCCGTGTGACAAAATGGAGCGCGTGTGGGTTCCAGAGAAAACAATGGAAAACAAATCCTCATGGACAAAGGAGCGCCGCTGGAATCTACGAGTCCCCCCGAGTCCGCCGGCATCAACCTAACTCCCACTTGCGTCCAGGGGGCTCCAGCTAAACTGGCCGTCCGAGAACCAAGTGGACCGATTCAATCGACCATTCTGCGGTGCACGCTGAGATGCGCACGTGCGTTGTAACGCCAAGCCGCACGACAGGGGGTAAGAAGGAGGAAAAGGAGGAGGAGGAGGAGGAGGAGGAGGAGGAAGAGGAGGAGGAGGTGGAGGAGGAGGGCGGAAGGAAAAATGTCGGATTCGATTATCAGAACTTTCCTGGCTTGGCGTTTAGTTGTCCGCAGCAGATCCTGACGTACATGTTTATTCTGCCTGTCCTGTGCACGCAGGCATTGTGGTGTACACCAGCGATGCGTTGCACGCGGATGCTGTGGTGTAGACAGGCGCTGTGGCGTGCACGGGCGCTGCGGTGCACGCAAGCACTGTGGTGTACACAGGCGTTGTGTTGCACATGGCTGCTGCGGTGTATGTACACCGGCGCTGCAGTGCTCCCAAGTATTGTGGTATACGCGGGCGGTGCATTGCACACGGTTGTTGCGGTGTACGCAGGCGCTGTGGTGCACACGCGCGGTGTGGTGCACGCGAGCGTTGTGGCGCACACAGGCGCAATGGGCAGATCGCCACTTACATGCTGCTCGCATCGTCGTCGTCGCTCGTCGCTCGTCGCTCGTCGCGTCGTGCGCGCGGGCGCGGCTGTGGTGCCGGAGCCACTCGGCGGGGGGGGGCGTCACGTCATACCCCCCCCCCGCCCTCCCCCCCCCCCATGACGCCCGTCATCGCCGAACATAAAGAAACGCGTTCTTCGGGGCCGACAGGAAGCGGCTCGACGTGGAAAACCGGCCCCAGGGAAAGGGTCGGGACTTTCCAGGGCCGCATATTGAAAGAGAACGGCGTGGCATATTTGGAGGCGGGTCCTGAGGGAGGCCGTGGGTAGAACGGGGAGAACGAGCAGAACGGGGACGTTACGGGGCCCGAAAGCGTACACCGCCTCCCTCAACCCGAGCCTTCTCCCGGGAAAGAGGAGAGGTAGAAGAGGCTAGAGGAGGGATTGGGGGAGTGAAGGTGGTGGTGTGTTCGTGGCGCCCGCAGACGAGGTTCAGGCGATCGCAAACATGGATTAAGGGGGCGTGGATTAGCGACGGGTCCCGCTTCCATGGGAAGTTGCATGGGAAGTTGCGGATTTCCGCCGCCGAACGAGGCGGCACCGGCCGCACTTTGGGGAGGGAACTTCCCCCGATCCGTGGATTTGGCGACTGCGCGCCAAATCCACGGATCGCTAATCCATGTCTGCGCGCCCCCGAGAGATGCCACGCGCGGCGCCGAGGCGAGGCGGCTCAAGGCCGCGGAGGAGGCCAAGAGGGCGGCGGAGGACCGCTGCAAGCTGGTCGTCGTCGACCTCTCAGCGCTGGCGTCGTCTTCGTGGCCGTCGTTTTCGTTTTCGTCGTCGTCCGCTTCTCACCACCCACCAAATCATCCCAACCCAACCCGAAGGCTTCAATGTGCCCTCCACTTCCCCTGGAGGGGGTCAGGGAACATGGAACAAACACATGGAACCCGTACCCCCCCAACCCGAAATTCGGGTCAAATTCGGGTCTTCGGTTTGGGTTGGGGTGGTCTGGTAGGTAATCACGTTCGTCGCCGCCGTCGATGAGCCCTCCCCGGCGCTGACGCTATCCCTCTCGCCCCCCACCGGCGGGTTTGAAGGGGAGAGGCGGGAGCGAGGGAATCTCCTCGTTTCCGGACGACGACGCCGAGGACGAGGCCGACGAGGAGAATGAGGGCTGAGAGGTGATGCGGGGGGAGGAAGGAGGTAGAGGAGGGAGGAGGTACCGCCCGGATCATGTGTCTTCTTGCTTGCAGCGTTCAGCAGATCCGCGCTGTTATCGTTGATGACCCCATTTTCCGCCACCACCACCACCACCATAAGTTGGAGGGGGAAAGGAGGAGGAGGGCGAGGAGGAGGAACACGAAGAGGAGGAGGAGGAGGAGGAGGAGGAGGAGGAGGAGGAGGAGGAGGACCCCCCCTCCAACGTATGGTGGTGGTAGTGGTGGAAAACACGCCCATCAATCGTGGATGATCGAAGATGCTTGCAGAGAGTCACAGTCGCCCCCTGAACTTTGAAAACGCCCATGCATTGAAATTACGATCGGAAGTGTGGTCACGCTGGTGGACTGCGCGTTGGGGGGGAAGGGATGGCTGGGGCTGTCTTTGGGCGCTGTTCTTGCCTTTTGGCCTTTCTTGAAGGCCTCATGGTGCCTTGGGCCATCTTGGGGCTCTTGGGCAGCATAGTGCCTTCGGATTCCGTCTTGGGGGCAGTGTTTGGGCCCTCTTTGGGGCCATGAAGGGGCGGTCCTGAAGCTATCGTCGGCCTTCTTTTGGGCCCTCGTGGGGTTTTCTTGGTGCCCATTTGGGCTACTTTGTGCTGAACTTTGTGCCCCCTTGGGCCGTCTTGGACGCTTTGAATATTGAAAGCGCAGGCCAGACCCCAAAACACGTTGAACAACCAACAGTTTTTCGAGCATCTGACCTCGTGAGCCCAACTCGAGAGAACGGGGAGCCCGAACCGTATTGGTGCGTATTGGAGGCCATGTTAGCTAGTCTGTATTGTCTTGTCTTCTGGGTTTTTGTGTGCGTGTGTGTGTGTGTGTGTGTGTGTGTGTGTGTGTGTATGTGGGTTCTCAGTGGTGTCAGTGGAGCCGTTTTGGAATGTCGGAGGTTGATAGACCTCCTACCTTGGCACGTCGATTAGCGAATGGGCCGTTTTCGGTTCGCGAGGGCGTCGCGGCCGTCGTTTTTGCGGGTCCAGGTCCGTCGGTTTCGGTCTCAGGCAGTTTTCACTAAAGGGTGGTTTACTAAAGGGGTGTTTGTCACAAAAACGGTTTGTCCACCGCCGAACGTTAGCTAGACTGTGTTGCCTTGGCTTCTGGGTTTTGTGTGTCTGTATGTGGGTTCTCAGTGCTCTCAGGGGAGCCCTTTCAGAATGTCGGAGGTCGATAGACCTCCTACCCTGACACGTCGATTAGCGAATAGGCCGTCTTCGCTTCGCGAGAGGGCGTCGCGGCCGTCGTTTTTGCGGGTCCAGGTTCGTCGGTGTCGGTCTCAGGCCGTTTTCATTAAAGGGTGGTTTCATAAAGGGAGGTTTGTCCTCCGCCGAATAATAGCTAGTCTGTGTTGTCTTGCCTGCTGGGTGTTGTGTGTGTCTGCATGTGGGTTATCAGTGTTTTCAGACGAGCCGTTTTAGGATGTCGGAGGTTGATCGACCTCCTACCCTAACACGTCGATTAGCGAATAGGCCGTTTTCGGTTCGCGAGAGGGCGTCGCGGCCGTCGGTTTTGCGGGTCCAGGTCCGTGGGTTTCGGTCTCAGGCCGTTTTCATTAAAGGGTGGTTTACTAAAGGGAGGTTTGTCCTCCGCCGAATGATAGCTAGTCTGTGTTGTCTTGTCTGCTGGGTGTTGTGTGTCGGTATGTGGGTTATCAGTGTTTTTCAGAAGAGCAGTGATGGAATGTCGGAGGTTGATAGACCTCCTACCCTGACACGTCGATTAGCGAATAGGCCGTTTTCGGTTCGCGAGAGGGCGTCGCGGCCGTCGTTTTTGCGGGTCCAGGTTCGTCGGTTTCGGTCTCAGGCCGGTTTCACTAAAGGGTGGTTTCATAAAGGGAGGTTTGTCCTCCGCCGAATGATAGCTAGTCTGTGTTGTCTTGTCTGCTGGGTTTCGTGTGCCTGCATGTGGGTTCTCAGTGCTTTCAGGGGAGTCGTTTTGGAATGTCGGAGGTTGATAGACCTCCTAACCTGACACGTCGATTAGCGAACAGGCCGTTTTCGGTTCGCGAGAGGGCGTCCTTCTCGACATGCCGGTTCCGTCGCTAAGGCACCTCCTGACAATACTTTGGTTTCACTTGCACCTGGCAAGCTTGGGCTGCAAACAACATTATAATTGCTGATCCCGGCGCGTGCAACATTATAATTGCTTCGCGGTGTGACTAACAGAAGGCTTGTCAGCAGTGCCGTCGGTCGCATGCTTGGGCGAACGTTTACTAGATCCGTTTACTTCCCTGGATGTGAAGAGAAAGTACAAAGTTGTTGGTTTGAGCACTTCGCCCCATCCATGGTCAAGGTACCAATTTACATTCACAGATCTCTTCTGAAGAATGCATACGAGCCCTCTTGTCGCAAAGCCGTAGTCGCATGGAAGGCCTTCTACGGGGCAGTACAAGCGCCGAGGTGGTCCGAAGGAATTGTACCACGGAGATGCCCTTGTGGGGCCATTAAAGGCGAAAGGAGTGGGCGGAAGACAATTTGCCGAAGGAGTCAAAGAGGGAAGGGGGCAAAAGGCGAATGATGAAACCCAATTCTCTGCCGTTGCCTCTCGGATGCGTACGCGCGTCTGTTTTGGACGTGCACTCGTGGTGTCGGCATCGTCCGGGTTCGTGCATTCTCCTCCTGAATACAGCGTGCAGGGCGGAGTGGAGTTGCGGGCTTGCTTGTTCCCCCACCCAGTGAGAGAGCCGAGGGAAGAGGCAGAAGCAGTGTGCGACGGAGACGGGCGCGCTGACGATCCGTACCGAAGCGCGGAGTCGGGAAACGGGGAGGGCCGTGGACGGAAGACGCATCCCGCATCCGCGGCCTCGCGGGCCGGGCCCCTGGTCCGTGACCCCGCGGATGCGGGGTTCGCGGGTGCCCCGCGCGGAGCGTATTATCCGTGCGATGGCGTATCCGCGGGATCGCGCCCTGGAGTCCAGACCGCGAGGGCGTGGATATGGATACGTTCGCCGTTCGTGAGAGGGAGGAGGAGGAGGAAGAGGAGGAAGAAGCCTCACTATAGTCAACAGGCGCTCACCGCAGTCCTGCCCCTCATCTAGTTGATTGCACCAGGCCAGGCTCCGCATACGGGCCAGCCTAAGATGAGAAGACATTGCATTTCGACCTAACCACATGTAGGGCAATGTTTTATATTCACTAGGCCAGTCTAATGGCCAGCCTGCGATACCTATCACAAGACTCCTCTTGCTGGACACGATGGGTCCATGCTGAACCATACAAGCAGCACGAGGGTCCTAGTATTGAGGTGGTCCGGGGTAAACCCAAAAACCCTGGGCGGCAACCTTAGAATTGCCATACTTTTACTGCTGGCCTTTCGACTCTGCAATGGCAGCTCACGCGACTCACCCCACACCTTTTTTCTTGCACCCCTATCTCCATGGTTACTCTCTTTGTTGTTTTGTGTTTGTTTCTCTCTCTCTCTCTCTATACATAGGCTCGTGGTTACCCTACAAAGCCAGGGTCGCAGCACACATATTGCACGCTATTTCTCCTGGAGGTTGGAATGAAACCTTAAGAACTCGATTGCAGCACTCGCAGTGCACGCTTGGGTCCCCACTGGGGTTGACCTCATACGGCTCTCTTTGTTTAGCCGCAATCTCACCAGCGGGGGAGGCACTTAATGACGGACGGGGGTGGACGAGGGACGTTGGCACGCATTTCGTCTGCCACAGAGGAACGATCGTTTACACTGCGACACGTCCTGCATCCTATTTTTATCCTTGCCATCCGAGGCGGCACAACCTTTGAACAATCAGGGGGCATTTCCTAGGGATCTTACTTACTGGGATTCTTATCACTAAGGTCAGTGCCGACCTCGTGGACCAGGCGGGCGCCTAATCTTTCTAGTCTTTGTTTCCGTTGTTTTACCTAGTTCATTTTCTGCGTCGCCCGCCAGGTCTTTTTGTGCGCCGAGTCGTACACCTGCATTTTTGCATCCGTTTTTTTATCACATTGCACAACCGCCACAGCGTTCACGCTCAGGTCGGTCTAAGGTAAAAGGGGGAGGGGGGCTAACCGTAACGCAGCAAAGCATCAACGATGTTGCAGTAAGCCATCCCTGCAAGTTTCCTTTTAAAAAAAACAAAAAAACAAAAAAACGTCCCTACACCAATCTGATTTGATTGCAGAAAGTCGCTAATTCGAAGTTTACCGTCAAAAAACATTCAAAAGCACCCAAACACAATTCCTTGAATTCAGAATGACTGTTGCGATCGAACAACCCCAACTCGTGCCAGAACATTATCATTGGGATTTCTTCATCGCGAATCAGCATCGTTGCTGCGCCCGGGCAATCCCCAACCGCACCAGAACGCCAATCCTGGGACTTCAACCGTACAAATATTTTTAAGCAGTGGTGCGCTTTTGCAACGAATGCGCGCGACGTTAAGGCGAGAACACACACTTTAAGGCGGGTAAAGACAATAAAAAAACGCCCCCCATCCGTGAAGCGGTTGCAACATTTTGTCGCGAGTGCGCGCGGCGCTAGGGCGAGAGCCACATTTTGAAAACCTCCCGCCTTCCATCCTTGGAGCAACTGCAGATTTCAAGCCTCAGGAATTGAATGCTGAGGGGGTCTCCGGCGAGACGCCCGGCCCGCCCCAGCAACACGTCTGGGGGGCGACAAGGAGGAGTTATTCATAAGGAGAGTCGATAGAGGAGGAGAGGACGAGGAGGCGGAGGAGGACGAGGAGGAGGACGAGGAGGAGGAGGAGGAGGAAGACGAGCGGCAGAGGAGCGGCGAGGCGAGCGGCGACGGGGAAGGCAGGCGACGGCTGCGCCCGCGCCAGGAGGCGGCCGCGGTGGAGCGGGCCGCGGCCGCGGAGGTCCGCAGCGCCGCGGCGGCCCGGGCGCGCGCCGACGAGGAGGGGGCGCGGGCGAGGGCCGCGGAGGAGGCGGCCAGGGCCGCGGAGGAGAGGGCGCGGGCCGAGGAGGCCAGGGCCGCGGAGGACGTCACGAGCGGCGAACGTATGTATGCACATCCGCGCCCTCGCGGTCTGGGTTCCGGGGGGCCCGATCTCGCGGGTGCGCGGTCGCACGGATGCGCCCCGCGCGGCGTTTCCGCGAAGAAACGCGCCGTAGCCGCGGGGTCACGGCCACAGGGATTAACCCGCGAGGCCGCGGATACGGATATATGTCTCTTCGGAGGGGCTTTGCGTACCTTGAGGGCGGTCCCCCGTCCCCCCCCCCAATGCCATAAAGTTGGAGGAGGCGAGACCGCGAAAGCGTCTGCGAGGGAAGGTTAGCCTCGCCGCCGTCGCCCTCAGCCAAGCCCGGGCTTGCTGAGGCGACCTTGCATGCTCTGAGCTCGTAGCATACGCAGCCGTTGTCTTCCAAGCAGGCCATGACCAGAGACGGTCAGCAGGATTGGTCGAGTTGCCACGGCTTGAGAGCTCGGTCTGTATTCATACCTGATAAGCGTTATTCCTTAATTGAATCGCCTTCTGGCTACTCTGCACGATAACCTCCTCCTCCTCCTCCTCCTCCTCCTCCTTCTCCTCCTCCCCCTCCTCCCCCTCCTCCTCCTCCTCCCCTTGCCTTGGCTACCTGATGTCTCTGCAGGAGGCCAGGGCCGCGGAGGAGCGGGAGCGGGCGCGGGCCGAGGCGCGGGCGAGGGCCGCGGAGGCGGAGGCGCAGGCCGGGGAGGAGGCGGCGCGGGCGGCGGCCGCGGAGGAGGCGGCCAAGGCCAGGGAGGAGGCGGCGAGGAGGGAGCTGGAGGACGAGGGGCGGGGTGCTTCTCGGGAGGGACAAGAATACAGACACCACTAATCTCCGATTCCCAGAGTATATGGGAACATATGGGAAGAAGGGGGGGAGACAAAAACCCAGAAAATATGGGAACATATAGGGACTCCTGTGATTTGTGTAGATTTTTTGTGTGTCCCGGGGCCCTTTCATTCATTGATTGTTCTTGTCGAATCCACGGGCAATTGATCAGGACGGGGGTTCGAGCAGGTGATCGACTACAGGACTAATGTAGCCCAATATTGATTTTCTCGTCGAGTCATACGTAGAATGTTCGTAGGTCTACAAACATTCTACACATGTCTCATGGATTCGACGAATAAAGCAATTTGGGGTAAATCAATTCTGTAGTCCATCCCCTACTCGAGGGGTGGGGTGCTTCCCCCTCCCCCTCGCTCTCCATCGTCGGTACCGTTTGACCGATCCCCATCCCCATCCCCATCCCCTTCGAGACCCCCACCGAATCACCACCCCAGTTGGGGATGCACCTCTCGATACCCGAAGGGGACGGCCTATATCCCCATCTAGGGGGGTAAATCGGCCAGTTGGGCTCAGGCCAAGCCGCTGGGGATTGGGGTCGGTAAAACGATGCTCACATCGCTCCGTGTCTACACCGCACGACCAATAGCAATATAGTAGCATGGGCACATGGTTTCAACGCCGTTTTGAGGCTCTCTTGGGCCGTCTTGGGCGCCTCTCGAGCTGTGTTGGGGCCGCCTTGGGCCGTCTTGGGGCCCTCTTGGAGGCTTCGTGGGCCGTCTTGGGGCGGTCTTGGAAGCCTGTTGGACCGTCTTGGGGCGCTGGTGAGCCCAAAACCGTCAGAAACTGAAAGGAAATCACTAATTTCTGCCTCTGTGGGCCCTCTTTGGAGGTCTCTTGGAGGCCTCTTGGGGCGTCTTGAAGGCGCTTTGCGCTGTCTGGAGGCAATATTTGGCGTCTTGGATCGCTCTTGGACCGTCTCGGACCATGTTGAGCTCTCTTGGAGGCCACTTGAAGCGCTCCTGGAGCGCTCTTGGGGGCCTGCTTGGACCTGGCCAGGACCTGCCCTGGACCTGCCCGGGACTTGCCCAGGACCTTGCCGGGACTTGTCTGGGTACTGTTCGTCCAGGGACCACCCCCAGGGGCGGCCCTGCGCGCGCGAAATAGAAATATGTTTTACCAATTCTTGGAGATCTTTGGCCCGCTGGGCCGGCGAATTGTTAGTGTTGATCCTCCCACCGGTGCACGTGGTGTTTGTTCAATGCAGTGGGCCCCCTCGGGCTCGCACCTAGCATATTTTGGTCACGGGAAGCATTCATTCTAAATTTGTGTGTTGGCCCCCAGTGTACGACAACATCAACACCAACGCGACCAACAACAACAACCACAACAACAACAACAACAACAACAACAACAACAACAGCAACAGCAACAGCAATAACATCAGCAGTAACAATAACGGCTCCCGCCTGATACTTCCTCACAATGTATTCCCAAGTCGCGTTCTCGCGCGGGACGCCCTCACAATTTATGCAGGAATCGCGCCCTAGCGAGGGATTTTCTCGCAATTCTTTACGCTTCGCGTATCCCCACCAGCCCATCTCACAGCAGCAACTCTCGCGAAGCATGCCGACAGTCGTGTTTTCCCCGCGTGTGTCCGCTTGGCCCCGCATATCTCCCCTGTTCCTCCTTCCTCCCGCCTCCTTGTACTTCCTCCTTGTGAAGGGGAGCGGGAGAAGGACGAGGCGGAGGAGGAGGGAGAGAAAGCGCTCCTCGTGATTTGAGTCGTTTGGGGTTTCTCGTCCTGGTGTGAGTCGTTCGGGCCCTTCTTCCTGGTGTGAGTCGTTCGGGCTCTTCGTGGTGTGAGTCGTTCGGGCTCTTCGTCCTGGTGTGAGTCGTTCGGGCTTCTCGTGGTGTGAGTTGTTCGGGCCCCTCATCCTGGTGTGAGTCGTTCGGGCCCCTCCTCCTGGTGTGACTCGTTCGGGCTCCTCGTGGTGTGAGTCGTTCGGGGCCCGCGTCGTGGTGTGAGTCCTTCGGGCTCCTCGTGGTGTGAGTCGTTCGGGCGCCTCGTCCTGGTGTGAGTCGTTCGGGCCCCTCCTTGTGGTGTGAGTCGTTCGGGCTCTTCGTGGTGTGAGTCGTTCGGGCCCCTGTGAGTCGTTCGGGCTCCTCGTGGGGCCTCTTGGGGGCCTCTTGGAGCCTCTCTTGGGGGCCTCTTGGGGCCTCTTGGGGGCCTCTTGGGGCCTCTTGGGGGCCTCGGGGGCCTCTTGGGGGCCTCTTGGGGCCTCCTCGTGGGGCCTCTTGGGGGCCTCTTGGGGGCCTCTTGGGGGCCTCTTGGGGCCGCTTGTGGGCCTCTGGGGGGCCTCTTGGAGGCCTCTTGGGAGCCTCCTGGGGGCCTCTTGGGGCCATCTTGGGGCCTCTTGCGACCTCCTCAGAAGCGCAAATGAGGGCTGCCCCCTGAGAAGGACAAAATGAGGCCAACACCTTCGTAAAATAAATGATTCTGCTATGAGGGAAGCTGAGCGCGGCCCCCTCAGAAGGCCAGAATGGGGCCAAAACCATCGTAAAATCAATGATTTCTGCTTCAAAGACGAGCTGAGAGGCCAAACTACCTCCCCCCCTCGGGACCATAATCCTCGTGAGGGTCGTCGTTTTTTGGCCCTCCGGGGAGTCGAAATGGACCCCCCTGATCCCACTCGGCCCGCCCTCTCCAGGTCCAGGGGGGGGGGGTGTAGGGGGAGGGGTAAACCCCTCCCCGAAGGGGAAGATAGGGGGTTAGGGGGTTGAGAACAGAGAGAGCTCTCTAAACCACTCACGCCCAAAGGGCTGGTGGGATTTATTCAGACGCCGCGCCCTCGACACTCAGGAATCACGGTCTCGCTGTGGATTACCTCATGAGTTATTTGGGAATCGCGCTGCCGCTCGATATTTCCGCGTGATTCATGCAGGACGCACGCTTCAGTAACCACCTGCTCGACATGGCCGCCTGGGCCCGCCTTCCCGACCCGCATGTTAGGGTCTATCCGCCCGATCTGCCCGTCTGGTTCTGCCACGTCTTCTGCTCCTAGCCCCCCTTCTGCCACTCTCTCTCGTGCTCCATCGTCCTCCCTCCTCCTTGTCCCTTCTTTCCATATGTTTTCTCTTCCCTGCCTCAGGGGCTGCACGAAATACACGCTGCAGGTAAGATCTATATGTATATACACGCCCAAAGGGTTACGATGGCAGACGAAGCGGGCTGGTATCCAGGGTTCGGGATATACGTGCTGAAAATTTGCACACGAGTAAATATCATCGAGTAAAATGGTTGATGATGCTGTTGATGATGTTGTTGCCGGCGATGAACTCTCATTCTTGAAGAATGTGTATTGCTGATTTCTCTCACTGGTGCACGTTGTGTTCTTTCCTAGCCATCATGTGGTGTTGAGTCGTCGTTTTGAAGAGACAGCGCCCCGCGTCACTCCTTCCTTCCTTCCTTCCTTCCTTCCTTACTTTCTTTTCTCGTTCCTTCCTTCTTTCCTTCCTCCTCCCCCTCCTCCTCCCTCCCATCCCTGCCTCTGCTCTCCGCATCAGCCAACCGTTTCGGCACACCCCCGACACTCTTCGTGGCCCCAAAGGGAGCTCCACCCAAGGTCCGAGTGTTACAGTTCGCATGTGGGCGTCCCGCCCGTTACGGCACACACCTCACACGTATGATGGCCCCATAGGGAGCTCCACCTAAGGCCACAGTTGCGCAGCCCGCATGTGGGCGACACCCCCGTTTCGGCACACACCTCACACGTTTCGTGTCCCCACAGGCAGCTCCACCTAAGGCCCCAGTGGCGCAGCCAGCATTTGGGCGACACCCCCGTGTCGGCACACACCTCACACGTGTCGTGTCCCCACAGGCAGCTCCACCTAAGGCCCCATTGGGGCAGCCAGCATGTGGGCCACACCCCCGTTTCGGCACATCCCCGACGCCTGTCGTGTCTCCACAGGGAGCTCCACCTAAGGCCCCAGTGGCGCAGCCAGCATGTGGGCGACACTCCCGTTTCGGCACACACCTCACACGTTTTGTGTCCCCACAGGCAGCTCCACCTAAGGCCCCAGTGGGGCAGCCAGCATGTGGGCCACACCCTCGTTTCGGCACATCCCCGACGCCTGTCGTGTCTCCACAGGGAGCTCCACCTCAGGCCCCAGTGGCGAGGCCGCATGTGGGCGACACGCCCGTTTCGGCACAAACCTCACACCTTTCGTTCCCCCACAAGGAGCTCCACCTAAGGCCCCCGTGGCGCAGCCCGCATTTTGTCGACACCCCCGTTTCGGCACACCCCCGACGCGTTTCGCGGCCCCATGAGAAGCTCCACCAAAGGACCCAGTGGCGAAGCCCACATGTGGGCGACACCCCCATTCTGTGGCACACCCCTCACACGTTTCGTGGCACCACAGGGAGTTCCACCGGAGGCCCCAGTGGCACAGCCCGCATGTGGGCGACACGCCCGTATCATGTTCCGTGGCCTCGGAGGGAGCTCCACCGAAGGTCCCAGTGCTGCAGTTCGCATGTGGGCGACCCCACCCCTCACCTCCTTCTTGGCCCCGTAGTGGGCTCCACCGAAGGTCGCAGTGCTGCAGTTTGCATGTGGGCGTCACGCCTGTTTCGGCACGCCCTTCACACGCTTCGTGGCCCCATAAGGAGCTCCAGAGGAGGTCCCGGTGAGCCTTTGGGGCCCTCGGGCCATTTCGGCGTCCACATCGGCGTTCCACTCAAACGTGTTGTGGCCCCACTGGGAAATCCACCGAAGACAATCCTCACACCTGCGGCACTCACAACTGCATATGATCCTCCGCCAGACTAATTTCAATCAAGTGCCCCACTCGGGGCTCGCACCCTATTTTTTATCGGGGAATGTCTTCCTGCTCGAACTGCGTTGTTGGGCCTCGAGCCACAACAACGATGCTCCAGCCTGATACTTCCTCACACTGCATTCCCAAATCGGGCTCTCGCGCGGGATTTCCTCACAATTGATGCAGGAATCGCGCCCTCGCGAGGGATTTCCTTGCAATTGTTTCAATCGCCGCGCCCTCGACACTCAGGAATCACGCTCTCGCTTTGGCCTTTCTCACGGTTTCCTTGGGAATCGCGTCATCGTTCGAGACTTTTGTCGTGATTCATACATGACTCACGCTTCAGCAACCCGCCTGCTGGACCTGGCCGCCTAGGCCCACCTTTCCGACCTGCACGCTAGGGTCTGCCCGCACGATCTGTCCGTCTGGTTCTGCCACGGACATTATGCTCCGAGCCCCCCTCCTGCTAATTGTTGTTCCTTGCTCCATCCTTCTCCCTCCCCCTTCCGCCGCTGTTTAGGGGCTGCGCTACATGCACATAGCAGGTAAGGAAGATATACCCCAAGGGGGGTACGATCAAGGACGAAGAGGGCGGGCAACGAGGGCTTCGGATTCACGTGCTACATGGCATGCGAGCAGATAGGAGAGATCAGTCTCAAATTGATTGTTTTGTTGTTGTTGTTGCTGTTGATGTTGTTCTTGCTGGTGTTGAACGGTGATGACTGAAGACTGGTTATTGTCGATCCTCCCTCCGGCGCACAATGTCGCGGTTGTTGTTGTTGGTGGTGGTGGTGGTGGTGGTGTTGGTGGTGTTGTTGATGATGATGTTGCTGCTGAGTTCTCGCTAAGAATGAGAATAAATTTCCCCGTGCCCGGTAGCCACTGCATTTTGCAATTACACTGTTTCTCCCGGGGTTCGCACCTTTTTTCTTTAAAAATGGAAAGCTGGGTGACACCAAACCGGGATGTTGGGCCCCGCACTACAACAGCAACGGTTTCGCTTGACACTTCCTGATGTATACAGGAGTCGCGCTCTCGCGTGGGATTTCCTCGCAATTTATTCAGACGCCGCGCCCTCGACAACGCTCTCGCTGTTGATTCTCTCACGATTTATTTGGGAATCGAGCTATCGCCTGAGATGTCTTTGCGATTCGCGCAGGACGTCCCGTCCTTCCATCCGTCCTCTATTCCCCTGCCTTTGGGACTGCACGAAATACACGCTGCAGATACGATTGAGATTCCCCTAAGGGGGTACGATCGAAGACGAAGAGGGCGGGTATCGAGGGTTTGGAATGCACGGGTTGAATGGCACGCGAGCAGATAAGAGTGAACAGTCTCAAACTGATAGTTGTTGTTGCTCTTGCTGTTGCTGTTGTATCTCCATATTCCAAGTATTCATTGTTGATGCCCCCTGCTCGGTGACCATTGTGTCTTCAATGAAAGTGTTTCTCCTGGGATTCGTATCGTGTTTTTACGATGGGTAAGTGTGGGGTCACCACACTGCGTTGTTGGGTCCCGACCTACAACTACGGCTCCGGCCTGAAACGCCCTCACAATGTATTCCAAACTCGCAAGCTCGCGTGGGACTTCTTCGCAATTGATTCCATCGCCGCACCCTCGATGCTCAGGAATTACCCTCTCGCTCTGATTGTTCTTCCCACTTGGAATCGTGCTATCACTCGAGACCTCGCGATTCATGCAGATTTCACACTTCACCTACCCGCCTGCTCGACCTGGCCACTTTGGCCAGCCTTCCCGACGCGTCGTCTGCTCCTGGCCCCCCTGCGAATCCCGTGATCCATCCTTCTCCTTCTTCCTTCCATCCGTCCTCTCTTCCCTGTTTTTTTTTCAGGAGCTGTTTTTATTTCAGGAGCTACACCAAGTACGCTCGGCATGTAAGGAAGATGTACTCCAAGGGGGGGCGACATTCGAAGACGAAGTGGGCGGGTATCGAGGCTCTCGCTTGTGACGTCCTCGCAATTTCTTCCATTACCACGCCTTCCACGCTCCGAAGTCACTCTCTCGCTCTGATGTTTCTTCCGACGTATTTGGGAATCGTATTATCGTTCGAGATTCTTGTTCGCGATTCATGCGTGACTCACGATTTAGTCACCCGCCTGCTCGACTTTGCCGTCTGGGCCCGCCTTCCCGAACCGCCCGGTCTGCCCTTCTGAATTTGCCACGTGTTTTCTGCCCCGATCCCATCCTAATATCTCTCGTGTCCCGTCCTCATCCTTCCCATTTGTTCCTTCCTTACATACGTCCTCTCTTCCCCCGCCTGAGGTGCTGCACCAAATGCAGCAGGTAAGGAAGAGATACACGGAGACGAGTAGGACGGGCATCGAGAGTTTGGAATGTACGTGTTGCATGGCACACAAGCAGGTAAGAGCGAACAGTCTCAAGATTGTCGTTGTTCCCAACCGTTCTGTGGTGTTGGGTTTCGTTTTGAAGGGACAGAGCCCCGCGTCCCTCCTCTCATCTCCTCTTCTTCCCCTCCTCCCTCTTCCTATCCTTGCATCTGCCATCCGCACAATTCACATATTTCGGCACACCTCTCACAAGTTCCGTAGCCCCACGGGGAGCTCCACCGAAGGCAATAGTGGCTGCGTTCGCATAGGCCCGCCGCACAGATTCCAGCACACCCCTCACACGTGTCGTGGCCCCTTAGGGAGCCCCACCGAAGGCCCCAGTGGCTGCGCTCGCATGCGCCCGCCGCACACATGTCGACACACCCCTCACACGTTCCACCGAAGGCCCCAGCGGTTGCGCTCGCATGAGCCCGCCGCGACCACGTCGGCACACCACTTCCCGTACGTTTCGTGGCCTCGTAGGGAGCCCCACCGAAGGCCCGAGTGGCTGCGCTCGCAGGCGCCCGCCGCACCCATGCCGGCACACCCTTCACACGCTTCGTGGTTCCATAGCCAGCTCCACCGAAGGACCCAGTGGTTGTGTTCGCATGCGCCCGCCGCAGTACCTTCCACCGAAGAGGGTACCCACAACTGCGTAATTCACAACTGCATACTGTATGGTTGGGTCCTTCGCCAGGCTGATTTTCTCGCAGCGTGTAAAAGGCGCCAGCCCGAAGAACAATACGTGGAACTATCGAGCGCGAGCGTTGTGGTTGTGTGTGGGGGGGGCGCCGGTTTGTGACGCCGAGACGAGAGCGCCGCTCCTAAGCAAGCACAGGGGAATTATCGAGCGGGGGCGTTTGTTTTGTTGGAGGGCAGGTTTTCGGTGGCCAGGCAGAGCGCCAGCCCTGAGCGAAATATCAAGAAACATCGAGCGGGAGCGTTATTGTTGTTGCTCAGGGTAGGGTCGGCGGACCCCTGAAACGCTCCTGTGTGATTGGCGATTTCAAAGAAAGTGTGCGTGCTGAGGAGGGAACGCCAAAGCGGATAGAGAGGATCCAACATTAAGCATTAGTTTTCAATTCAGGCCCGATGGAAAGTCGCACCGCGTAGCCCAATGTTAGCCATGCGTCCAGGGACGGTGCAGGACCGCTCGATCGATTTGCTATTCAGTAGAGTAACTCAGACCAATAGAATGATTAACAGTTCCTTACATCCTCCCCGTCCTCCTCCCTCCATCACTTCCCTAGCCCTCCCTTTCCCTCCCTCCTCCTAGTCCCAGGAGTTCCTGCTGAAGACCGAGAGGGAGAGGGCCAAGGAGGGGGGTGCCAGGCTGACGCCCTTCGAGGAGAAGGCCAGGGCTGAACGAGAGAGGCAGCTGAAGGCCCTGGAAGAGAAGGCGGACGCCGCCGAGGAAGAGACGAGGCAGAAGGAAAACGAGGCCAGAGCCGCGCACGAGGCGGCCAGGGCCGCAGAGGAGAGGGCGCGGGCCGAGGAGGCCAAGGCCGCGGAGGAGGAGGCCAGGGCCGCGGAGGAGAGGGACAGAGCCCAGGCCGAGGCGCGGGCGAAGGCCGCGGAGGAGAGGGCGCGGGCCGAGGAGGAGGTGAAGCGCGCGAGGGCTGCCGAGGAGGCAGCCAGGGCCGAGGAGGCGAGGGCGCGGGCCGACGAGGCCAAGGCCGCGGAGGAGGCGGCCAGGGCCGCGGAGAAGAAGGAGCGGGCCGAGGAGGAGAACGGACTTGCGACGGCCGCGGAGGAGGCGGCCAAAGCGATCGAGGAGACGGCGAGCGCGGAGGTGGAGGACAGGGGGGGCACGGGCGTTATCCTCGGTGTCGTTTCTTCATTTCCCTCCCTCCTGCGCCTCCTTCGCTTGCCTCACGATGATCATCACATGTCCTCTGCAAGGGAGGTGAAAAGTAGGGTGGGGAGGGCGAGTTGGTGGGACAAGCTAGGTGCGCCTTCACCTGATCTGTCATCCTATCCCTTCCCCCCATCCTTCCCAATGGCGCTGAGGTTTCTCTATCCGCGTACGCGTGCCATAGCCGACCTGCGACTCACACAACAACAATTTCGTGTTATGCGCAATCGGAGAAAAAGGGGAGCTGCGTGCACAGGAGGAGGATGAGGTGGCTGGTGAGCTGGACAAGAATGGATGACGAACAGCAGCAGCAGCAGCAGCAGCAGCAGCAGCAGCAGGAACTAAGGCGGAAGGATCGGGAGGAACAGGAGGATGAGGGGAAGGCGGAGGAGGGGAAATGAGGGGGGCGACAACGACGAAGACTTATTCGGATTCAGAGAAGTGGCCCTCGTTGGGGCGAGACAAACAGGGAGTTGGAGTGGAAGGAGCGGGAGGAACAGGAATGCCAGGGGAAGGCTGAGACGAGGAAGTAATGGGGAGACCACGATGGAGCATGACTTGGATCCGGAAAAGTGGCCCGCGCTTAGGCGAGAGCGCCATCCTGAACGATGGGAGCCACGCGCCGATCCGAAAATGAGGCCCACGCTGCAGCGGGAACACGATTTTGAAACGCCGACAACGATTGGAGGGAACACAAACCATGACAGCTATCAACGTTTGGGATCGCAGCACGCGGTGGGGGCGGGGAATATTCCGGACAATTTCAGGGGAGGAGGGAGAGTAGCATTCATAGTGCTTAATTATGGAGGGGGTATCTTTTTCTCCGTCCCTCTCCGGCTCATTCTCTCTCTCTCTCTCTCTTAGTTCTCTCTCTCTCTCTCTTTCCCTCTGTCTGTCTGTCTGTCTGTCTGTCTGTCTGTCTGTCTGTCTGTCTGTCTGTCTGTCTGTCTGTCTGTCTATATCTATATACACATAGCTGCGGATGTGCACCGATTCATAGGTATACCGCTGTTTATAGTCACATGTGTGTGCGCGCGTGCACGTACACATCTTCCAGCCTCATCCCCCTCTCCTTCTTGATGCCTGGCTGCCAGGAGGACGTCGACATGAAGCTGGGCCTCATGTGGAAGCCGTGGATGGAGAAGAAGCGGGCGAAGACGCAGCCTCCCCCCGGGGAGTCTGGTACTTCTTGAGACGAGGGCAAGGTGCCTGGAGAGGGAGCGCATCATCGGAGGCCTAGAGATTCACACCAACACCAATACCGGCGGTGCATTTTCGCCGAGGGGAGATGCTCCCGATCTCGGCGATGGTGGTAATATGCGGGCATCCCAGGTGGTCGAAAGTTGACTGCAGACGAAAATCTAGGATCACCATCTTCCAGTGGAGGCAGTCCCCTGTGTTGTTGTTGGTGCCCATTTCCAGGCCTCCAATATCACGTCCACCAACAATCGCCCACATGCTCAGAATGGGCCCAGCTCGTCATCGACACCACTTCCTTCCCTGGCCTCCAGGCCACATCGACCAAGGCTTGAGCCAAAATGGCCTGTGGAGGCATGTCTGGTGGTGTGCATCCAGCTGCCTCTGGTGATTCCGCCACCGTGCCAGCGCAGCACTCTGGGTGGCAACTGCTCGGGAAGGCCTGCTCGGGGGCAGCCTCGAATTCTGGGTTCGTGCTCCCACTGTTAGTCCCTTCTTGGGGCCGTCTTGGGGCCCTCTCTGGAAGTCGCGGGCGCCTCGTGTATATTTCCGATCTCCATGAGGTGGAGAAGGGAGGACGAGGACGAGAAAGAGAAGGAATGGGCAGCCCAATCGACCGATGAGCTTGGCACCGCGGGGATGCTGGGCTGCCGCGTGTTCGACTATGCCTCCGTTGGCTCCACCGTCGCCGTGACACCACGTAGTGCTCATTGCTTCCAGCTATCGCTGCGACAGGGAGCGCCTGGCTTACGCCCAGACCCTCCAGCAGTGCAGAGCCCTGGTCTCCCTCGGGCGTCTCAGGAGCCTCGCCGAGGCACCCGCAGGTTTTGCCCCCCGACTCCTCCCTCCTCCGTCACGTCGCTTCTGCAAAGGTGGCCCCCTTATCTCGACCCCTCCGTCCTGACACCTCCCTCCAGCCATCCTGACCCCTCCCGCCCTTCCCTCTCGGAGAGGGAAGGAAACTCGATAGAGCGAGAGCGCCTCGCCCTCAACCCGGGACCATCCCTCTATCCTGTCCCCTCCTCCTCCGTCTTCCTAAACCCCGACCCCTCCCTCATCCCTCCTCCCTTCGGCCCGCCGGGCAGGGCGGCATATGACAATTGGCAAAGCGTTTCTTCGAGCAGAGTGCTACAACCTTGTTGCCCCCCAGTGCCGGGGCCCCAGACGGCGCTGCGGTGCTCAGTGTTCCTTCCACCAAGTCGATCTGATCCCAGGGAAGGCCCAGCAGAGCAAGTCGAAATCAGGCCAGTCATGCCATGGCCTTCTTTTTTCAATGCGGGGTCCTTGGCGGGCTTTTGCATCCGAGCCTTTCCCGACCCTGCCCCAATGCCCAACGAGGGCCCCCGGAGCCCGTTCATTGTTAAAATCCTCCCGCCGTGATTTTTGTTCACGATGGAAACATGTCTGGAGGGTCCCTCCTCCCTCCTCCCTTCGGCAAAGGCCGCTCCCCCCTCACCGTGACGCCAGCTGTGTCGGATGACTCGGACATCGCCCGCCAGATGCAGTGGTATGGCGTCTAGTCTCCCTCGTTGGCCGAGTTTTTCAACCCTATGGTCATCACGCTTGCGGATGGCCCCAAGTCAGGTCAAGGGGAGGAGGAACTTTCTTCCTCCTCGTTCCTCCTCCTCCTCCTCCTTCTCCTCCTCCTCCTCCTTCTCCTTCTTCTCCTCCTCCTCTTCCTCCTCCTCCATCCTCACCCCCTCCTCCTCCTCCTCTCCTCTCCTCCTCCTTCCTCCTCCTCCTCCTCCTCCGTCCTCCCTCCTCCTTCCTCCCTCCTCCCTCCTCCCTCCTCCCTCCTCCTCCTCCCCTCCTCCTCCCTCCTTCCTCTCCCTCCTCCTACTCCCTCCTCCTCCTTCTCCTCCCTCCTCCTCCTCCCTCCTCCCTCCTCCTCCCCTCCTCTCCTCTCCTCCTCCTCCTCCTCCTCCTCCTCCTCCTCCTCCTCCTCCTCCTCCTCCTCCTCCTCTCCTCCTCTCCTCCTCCTCTCCTCCTCCTCCTCCTCCTCCTCCTCTCCTCCTCCTCCTCCTCCTCCTCCGCCTCCTCCCTTCGGCAAAGGGCCGTCTCCCCTCACACTGCCCGCGCGCGGTGCGCGGAGCGCGCCGCCGCGGCGCCTCTCGGGGCGCGAGGTGCCCCAGGAGAGGTCCGCGCGCAGACCCCACCCCCGCGCCCCCTGAGGGCTTTGGGGTGGCTCGGACGCCGCGCGGGTACCCTCGGCGACTCGAAAAGCAGGAGGGGGAAGGAGGAGGGAGGAGGAGGAGGAGGAGGAGAGGAGGAGGAGGAGGAGGAGGAGGAGGAGGAGGAGGAGGAGGAGGAGGAGGAGGAGGAGGAGGAGGAGGAGGAGGAGGAGGCGGAGGAGGAGGAGGAGGAGGGGAGGAGGAGGAGGAGGAGGAGGAGGAGGAGGAGGAGGAGGAGGAGGAGGAGGAGGAGGAGGAGGAGGAGGAGGAGGAGGAGGAGGAGGAGGAGAGGAGAGGAGGAGGCGGATGATGGAGGGGGAGGAAACAGGAGGAGGAGGAGGAGGAGGAGGAGGAGGGAGGATGGCGGAGGAGGAGGAGAGGAGGAGGAGGAGGAGGAGGAGGAGGAGGAGGAGGATGGGGGGAGGAGGATGGAGGATGGAGGATGAGGAGGAGGAGGAGGAAGAAGAGGAGGAGAAGGGAGGATGGAGGATGGAGGACGGAGGATGAGGAAGAAGGAGGAGGAGGAAGAGGAGAAGGAGGAGTAGGAGGAGGAGGATGAGGAGGAGAATGGCGGAGGAGCAGGAGGAGGAGGAGGAGGAGGAGGGAGGAGGACGCGGAGGCTGAGGTGGATGCAGCGGGGCGACGGCGAGAGGGCCCGGGCCGGGCGGCCCGGGTGCGTCCTGTGAGGGGAGAGGGTGCTGATTCAGACCAGCTCGAGTCAGGAACAAAATCACGACGGAAGTTGTGTCTCCGTTTCCGGCTTCTTGGGCTTCTCATTGGGTCTCGTGGCCGTCAAAAGCGAGCCCTCGGCCCGCGCGCATCAACGGTTCCCAGCATGGAGGTGGCAAGCACAACGTGGAAGATGTTCTAACGCTGCGCGCACATGAATGCCAAGCGCCACGCGCCGTTTTTTTTTCCTCCAGGGTTAAACGACGAATGTTCGTGGCCTGATGCACTGGGGGGGGGGACTTGGGCAAGGAGCACAATAAGGTTACAAACAGAGGTCCCGCCACGTCTCAGCCACGTTACGAGCGGATTTTGCGGCATTGGGTTTTCGATCGTTGGCAAGATACGATAGCGCCACGCAAGGGTGTCAACAATGGATCACCGCGCGGAGAGTCTGACATGTCTGACGCTTGTCGCATACCCAGCAACCCGGTGGACACGAGAGCGCGTTCTCGTGTGGGGAGAATGAGGTTAAGGGGGGGGAGGGGGATGCTGACAGGGAGGGCGCGGTTTGAAGTCAAGCAGGGCACGCACGAGGACGAGGAGGGGGAATGGGAATGGCGGGAAAGCACCGGGAGGGCCAAGAAGATGCATAACATGTGGGGCGAATTAGCTTCCGTGAACGGCGGCGGGGGAGGAGGAGGAGGAGGAGGAGGAGGAGGAGGAGGAGGAAAAGGAGGAGGAGGTGGAGAGGAGGAGGAGGTGGAGGAGGAGGAAAAGGAGGAAGAGTAATGCAACAGGGCTGGGCAGCAGCTTCAGCAGACTTGACAGCAGTTGCAGCAGCGGCCGGGTCAGAAGCTGCAGCATCAGCAGCACATGGCAGGCAGGGCCAGCGGGGCGCAGGAGTATGACCCCGCGGGAGCATGGTGGTGATGTGGAGCATGGCGAGGGTGCAGGTCATGATACCGATACTGCTGGAGGTGGTGACGATGATGGTAAAGTCAATGATGACGATTCCGAGGCTAATAATGACAATGAGGATCATATGGATGAGTCTGCTGATACGGCTGCTGAACATGATGGTGGTCAATATGAGATTGGTGATGATTGAGGAATGGGAGGTTGAGGAGGAGGAGGAGGAAGAGGCGGAGCAGGGGGAAGATGAGCACGTGGATGATGATGATGAGGAGGATGAGGATGCGGACTAGTGTGAACCCAAGACCCATCAACTATGTTGGAATACACTCTCCCTCCAAGATCCCTCCTCATAGACCCACAGTTTGAGAACCACCCGCTTTCCATCCGTGAAAGCGTTGCACTTTTCTCAGCTTCAGGACCATAGATGGTGTGGACGTCCCCGGCGAAACGCCCGACCCAGGTTTCCGTCTGGCCTCGGGGTGCGACATGGAGGGGTCATAGTTATTGTTTACGCTTCGCGTATCCCCACCAGCCGTGTGCTGTACGCGCACTCGCCCCCCATACGTGCGGCCCCTCTGTGACGGCAAAGCTGCCCGCATCGTACTAGCTTGGGTCAGCCTTACTACAAGTTCTAGTTGTTCGACAAGAGACGGTCGCCTCCCACCCGGTGTGAGCGTGAGCCGCGGTTTGCCCTCTCTTCCGTTTCGCTTCGTTTCCCCCCTCTCTCCGCTCGTGCTCTTGCCTCTTCTTCCTTCGTCGTTCGCTCGTTCGCCTTCTTCCTCTGTTTCTTCGTTCGCCCTCGCCCCTGCCGCGTTGCCGCTGCGCTTCGCCTGGTAGTTCTCGCCACCATCGTGGCCTTCTTTTCCTGCGCTTCGCTGGCGACAGTTGCGCTGTACGCCTTGGCCCTGCGCTGTTCGACCCGTTGACGGTGCGCGGCTGCCTCCGCGTCACTCGCAATGCCTCCCCGTCCTTTTTCCCGCGTCTCGCCGGCGACAGTTGCACTGTGCTCTTGCCCCGGCTTGCGCTCCCCGTGCGACCTCACGACGCCGCGCGGGTGCCCGCTCGCGGTCGCGATCAAAAAAGTACCCCCGCCAGCCAATCCAGAAACGATGCCCAGGGCAGTTGAGGTGATGATGGAAGTGGGGCAGCAGGCAAAAAAACAAATGGCGGGGGAAGCCGTCCGATACACTAAGAGGGGGAGGATGGTGGAGGAGGAGGAGGAGGAGGAGGGCGAAGAGGCGGGAGGAGGAAGAGACAGTGGACAAGGAGGAGGAGGAGGAGGAGGAGGAGGAGGAGGAGGAATGGCATCCTGGCGAACCCAGGGCCGTCTTTGAGCGTCTTGGGTGTTTCGGGGATCCTGTTGACGCCTCTTGGGGGCCTCTTGGGAGCCTCTTGGAGGCTTCTTGGCGCCGCTTGGGGCCGTCTGGGGGGCGCCCTTGGGAGCCTTAAGAACGCTCTTGGGGCCATCTTGGAGAGGATAGATCAACGAAGAGGGGGTCCTCAATTCCCGTCCCCCTTCGGGGGCTCCAGACATCGTTTCTTGGGGCGCGGTTTGGGGCGCTGTTGGGTCGCTTCTGGGCCGTTGTGGGGCTCTTTGGGGCCTCTCCTGGGGCCCTCTTGGGCAATCTTTGAGCCATCTTGAGGCCCCAGATGGGCATCGGAAACGAAAGGGCTAGAATGCAACACGCATTGGTTTCCCGTAGGTGTTGGACGGAGTTTGGCTTCTTCGGGGGGCGTTTTGGCCACTCGGAGCCGTCTTGGAGCGGTCTTGGTCTTGGGGCCGCTTGAAGAAGTTCGGGAACCATTTTGATGCATTTTGGGATATCTTGAGCCATCGCGTGGCTTATCTTTGGCTTTCCGAAGGCGCTCTTGGGGCCATTTGGGGCCATCTTGGACGCTCCAACCCTTTGGGGGGGACCCCTCCAGGTCCAGGGGAGGAGGTAGGGGGAGGGGTCAAGCCACCCACCTGCCCGCAAGTCGTCAAGTTCACTCCCACTCGCCCTCCAAACACAAAAATGACACCCAAGCCTGCGCATGTTCAGTGGCCGTTTTTGGATGGGCAGCTATTGGGAGCCAAAGCCGACGCCAGGTGCGCGACGCTTGAGCGAGGTGCGCCACGCGTGCCAGGGGCGCCACGCGCGCCAGGCACCCGTGGGGCCCGAGCGTGCCAGGCACGCCTGGTGCGCCAGATGCGCCACGTTTTCCGAGTACTCCAGGTGCGCCGCACAGTCCAGCCTCGCCAGGTGCGCCACGTTCGGGGCACGTGCAGAGTACGTCAGGTTCGCCTGCGCACGTGGCAACACACATCGGGAAACATGCTGGCTCCCTCCAGCCCTGTCGAAAACCAATGCCCATCATTGTGTATGATGGGCCTGCGCACAGCAGGCCACGCGCCACCACCCCCGCCGTCCCTGTCAAAAACCACTTGACCGTGATCGCAGGATGGCCGCGTATGGTCCAGATTTAGCCGCGAGGTGCATGTTGTATTGTTTGTTTGTTTTGTCATGGACGGTAGCCCTGCGCGCAACAGGGAATAAGCTGACACCTCCGCCGTCCCTGTCAAAAACAATGCAAAGTGCTCGCGGGCCCCACGGACATGACCCAGGACTTTGCCCCAAAATGTAGTTTGCATGGTTTTTTTCTGACAGGGATGGATGAGGGGGGGCCGCATCGGTTTGGCCGCGCATGCTCCACATGTGGAAGCAGAGTGCGGTTTGTATTTTTGACAGGGATGGCGGGGGGGCGGGCCCGCATGGAGTCGGCATGGTTCCTGGTCGGCCGCCAGCCGGGTGGGGGTGGTGGTGTACACTAGTAAGGAACAGTGATAAACCCTATCCCGAAAGGGAAGAGGGGCAGAAGGAAGACAAAGCACGCAAGACCACCTACGCCCTAAAGGGCTGGTGGGGTTCATAAGGAAAGGAATGGAGGAGGAGGGGGAGGAACATGAGCAGGAGGAGGAGGAGGAGGAGGAAAAGGAGGAGCTAGAGGAGGAGGCGGTGGAACATGATGCGCATGTGGATGAGGGAGAGGAGGAGGAACGGAGTCTGTGGGGGGGAAGCATCCGTAGGCAGCGACGACGACGCCCGAGGACGACAACCGACGAGCACGTCGCCTACGACTGGCGTCCGACGGAGTGCCGACGACTGAAATCCCGACGACGACGACGACGACCACGACGACCACGACAACCACAACGAGCACGACCACAACCGCGACCACGACCACGACAGCGACGACGCCGACGACCGCGATGGCCACTACGACGGCCGCGGCCACGGCGGCCGCGGCGACCGCCGCGCGCGGCCGCGCAGGCGCGGACATGGGCGCGCTCGGGGCGATCAGGCGCGGGCGGCGCCGCGCCCGCCGGCGCGGCCGGCGCGGCGTGTGGGTCGGGGTCGGGATCGGGGTCGGGGTCGGGGTCGGGGTCGTCGTCGTCGCCGTCGTCGTCGTCGTCGTCGTCGTCGTC